AGCGAAAGAGGGAGGGAGAGAGAGAGAGAGAGAGAGAGAGAGAGAGAAAGAAAGAGAGAGAGAGAGAGAGACGGAGAGGGAGAGGGAGATCGAGAGCGAGAGCGAGAGCGAGAGCGAGAGCGAGAGCGAGAGCGAGAGGGACAGCGCAACGAAAGAGGGAAATGGCACTGAAGCATCTTCCAAGCTTTGCTCTGTGTGTCCTCTGACAAGCGGTGGTAAGGCTTGAAGAAGAGTGCTGAAGCAGGATGCATTGTCCACCTGACAAATTAGCGGCGTGACTCTTCCCAAAACCTCCGCAAGTCGTCCACCGTTCTGGGAAGCTGACATCACGATTCGTCCAAGCATGCACCAGCACTCGCCTGTGGAGGCTGACATGGGATTTCACGAAGAGCCTACGCTATTTAAAAAAGCAAATACTGCATGGCCCCGAGCAGGACGTCACCGAGGGCAAGCAAAGCATCATAGCAGAGGCGTCTTTTTCCGACTCGGCACATCAAAGTTTAGCCTGGCACATCGCGACAGAAAGTCTTTGAAGAGTAACAGGGTGTAAGTCGGTGTAAGAACCTTCTTTCTGCCGGCTCTCCGGCCTGGGCCAAACCGTCACTTTGCGCCCGAAGCTGCGAATAGCCCTCGAGAGATGCCTTCAGCTGCATATCCTGCAGCATGTGTCCAGGCGGCAGAGCCACACATGTGTACTGGACAGCCGCAAACATCGCTCCTGCAGAGTCATCTGCGCCACGAGCTTCTGCGAGCTCTTTTCCCGCAGGTATGTTGTCGTCCATCTGCAAGGCAGCCGATGCAGTTAACTTAACTTTCAAACACCTACGGAGGAAAGTAGGACAATGCTCCAGAGGTTTCGCGGCACGCAGACTTTCCGCAACAGTTCTCCAGCCGGATCCATACATGAATGACTGCCCGCATCCCATGTGGCCTGAATTCTGCACGGGGCGTCTCGCCACAGCCGACTATCTCTCGCGTGCACTCATAGTCCACACCGACGAAGATCGGTCCGTTGACCAATATAACCTACACAGTTGATTCAGCAGGAAAGACAGTTGCACCACGATCCACGCGAAGAACTTCCGAATAAAACGGGTGCACCTCGCAGCCACCGAAAAGGCCAACCGGCGTGCGGCCTCCGAGTGCCTGAAATGCCGCTTCTTAGCGCTTCTGGGCTGAAACCTTCTTGTGACTAGTACTTGCCGGCCTTGTGCAGCCAGGCATCGCCCGAAAGGAGCGGATACCTCAGGCGAGTCGAAACATGTGTGGACCTTGTTAGCACAAGACTGCCGTCCTATCCAGGCCTTGCAGACGGAGCTCCGCCTGAGGCCACAACACAAAGTCCATCCGGGCTTGCTTCAAACCGTGCCCATCCGTGCCGGATCCGAAATAAACAAACGTTCCGTTCCGTTCGAGTTCGACTGGACCAGACCGTGGGGGGTGGCATCAACTTCCCATCGAGTTCCACTGCCAGTCCCAGCTCAAAGTCGGACTTCACATGCGGCAATCATTAGAGTAGTTTGCAGCTGTGATTCGATTTGGATTTCCGAACGAAGTTGGCTCAGCCTCTGAAAACTTCAACATTTGTTCGAATCGAATCGCAAGAAACATGTTTCAACTCTTTTGGTTTGTGGCCTGGTGTAAGGTCTGGCCTTGGCGTGCGATGTCCAGCATCCGGACCAAACCAAATTCCAAACCAACCACAAGGCACGAAGCGCAGCGTGCTTGGCGCGGCTTCCAGCGCGATGCTTACCATGATTCCTGTGTTGACCTTTGGTTGACAAAACTAGGTTGCACGTCAGAACGTTTGTTCATCTACATGTGTCTCGCCATGTGTCGTTTTGCATAACACAGAGGTTACCTGAGGGAGAGAGACAGAGAGAGAGAGAGAGAGGGAGACCCATATTGTCTTCGCCCCCACAGGGGACAAGACGCAAACGGGGGCATGGAGGTCCGAAACGGTCATGACTCCAAGCACAGCGGAGAGTCGCCAGGGTCATGTCAGCGTAACAGCACTCGTCACTAGCAGATCACGCCATTCAATGCTCGTCGGAGCTCCACGCTGCATGACAGTAGACCTGCGGCATGTCTGCTCGATCAAGCTGTCTGCTTCGAACGGCCGTCGGGACAAGTCGGCTAAGTCCATTCCGCAGCTCGAAGCGGACTGGGGAGGGCCCTAGCTTTCGCAGAGCACAGGCCTCCGACCCTCAGACTTCAAATCCTGAACCCGTTCCTTCTCCTGCCAAACCCCAAACAACCAACACAGGTGCTGCAAACCGTCCGCTGAAGGACGGTTGTTGGGACTTTGAGCTTTGGACTTCGAGATTCGAGCACAATGCCCCGTGGCGGTAGTCCGAGTTGGGGGGAACCGTTGTCAGTCGTACTGCTCAGGCGAAGATTGGCTAGCAGCTAGCCTAAATGGCGCACCGAACCCCTCACCTACCGCGCCCAGCATGATCTGATTGAAACTCCTTGGCAGTGGGCGGGCATCAATCAGCAGTTCGGCACTGCTCTCATTCACGCTGCACGGTAGCGACATTTCAGCTTGAGACAAAGGCTCTCGGGAGGAAGGATCGGCTTGCCCCACGGAGATGTGTGGCCAGCTTCCTGAGCCGGGTAGGGATGCGTCCCATGCCGGAGGGTTGTCGAAACTAGCCGGAGCCGATACCTCGCTGAACCATGGATGAAACTCGGTGATGATCTCCAGCTTCCTGCAGTTACTTTCAAACTTTCCACGTACCCTTGAAGAACCACTCGCGATTTGGCAAGAACAACCTCCTGTGTGTGAACGGAAACAAGGGACCAATGACCTTCTCCGGGAGCATGCGATGGACAAGGGCCAAAGCTCGCACTGGTGCTGCGGCATATGCGTGCTCATGCTGCTTTTGAAGGCCTTGTCGAACTCGATCTTTGCAGATTCCGGCTCCAGGCTGCGAGTGCCCGGGTCATGACGAGTAAAAAGCAGCCTTGGCTCGGGCCCGGCTCGGTCGAAAACGCTACGGCTACGGTAGGGTAGGCAGCTGAGAATGCAGCTTCCCCGAGACCGGCTTCATGCGGGCGATTTTGGACTGTGCCTTTGACACGCCAAAAGTGCGAAAATCCACCATATGTCCAGTTTATGCTGCAACTGCAGTGAGCTAGAGTGAGCTAGTGTGAACGAGTAGTGCGGGTGAGGGGTCCATCGTCGTCATCTCCCCTGGCTGCAGGCCCACGCTTGCCGTTCCTTCAAAGACAAGTCGTCCTTGGAGTCTCAGGCAAGGGCAACTGAGGATTCGAACACAGGAAAGGCTAAGTCTCTGCCAGAGCTCTCTTTTAGGCTATTCGCTGCAGCTGCTCTCTCTTAGCTCTGGGCCATCAAGGTGCTCCATCCAAACATCAAGTTGCTGCGCCGACTTCGACGGGTCGGGCTTCGCAATAAAGGCTCGAACAGGCTGACGATGGCCCACCTCAGAGTCTGGCACCATGGACAACAAGATCGAAATCCATCATCCCGTCCACCGGTGCACTGCCCTCTTCAGAAATTTACTATGAGTGGTCGACCTAACACAAGCGGGTCGCCATGTTAACGAAGTGCACCGACACGGACCCAGTCTCAAACCAGGCCGGCCCAAACGCCTGCCACACGTCGAATAACATCGAATAACGACGGAATTGAAGCCATTTGCATTTGGGGGTGACCCAGGCCTGCAGCAACAGAGGCGTCAGCTGGGACCAGTGAACCTCTCTTCAAGACCGCTCTGTAACTGACCTAGTGCAAACCACCCACAGTTTGCTTAGGCGACCGCAGTTCCATGGATGGGAGCAAGCTTGAGACCGACCTGACGCAGTCGTAGGATAGCACAGGGCCAGCACCGTGACAACCAGCAGTAGCGGTGCCAGCTGCAAGCCCAAACCTGCTCAGCTGTACTGTCATCGTGGATGGAGTTGTGTCCTCCGCCAACATGCTGTTCCTCCACAAATTCTCGCAAGAATCTGCTTTTCGCACAAGAAAAGCATCACGTCCAGGCTGCCTGGCCTGCAGGTCGTTGGGAGGTCGGCGCCATTCCCCGGCGAGGCACGGCACGCCAGGCCGAGACTTGCTCATCGCCGCGGTCGCCGCGCTCCGCAACTTCTCAGCCCTACTGTAAATTATTCTGTCACAACGTGCGCAATCACAACGTGTGCACATCAAACACGATGCAAAGACGTGTGCGGGCATGCATGGCATCTTTGGTCGCGCCGAAACCGAGCCACGGCAGACCACAAATTCGTAAGTGCTTTCCACTGACACTTTCTTCCGAGTGCCCAACACTCGCGTGAGCTGCTGCACGCAGTGGGCCCATGAAGGTAGATCATGCACAGCGAGCCCCTGTGCGGAGCCGTCAGAGTCTTCCAAGCAGCATAGCGCAGCCCCCTGGCTGCCTCGATGCCAACGATCTCTGGTTGGGCTGCTCGAAGGGTGTCCAGGACAGTCTTCGTCGGTCTGCCTCAGAAGCGCCCACTGCACTGACAGCACCGGAGAATTCAAAAGTCGGACCAGGGACCCCACTTATGTTACGCACGGCTTCAACCTCCATGTGCAGATCTCCGAAGGCGACAGGCAATGCCTGCACGAGACGATGACGCATGCAGTCATGCAGCTGCTTTTCATTGCATCAACTTCAAACGAGCCTCTCGTAATGCAGCGCGTAGGCCTCGCAGTTGTGCACAGCTCATATGCAACAGCTGCAGCGAAGGAAGGTCGCTTCTGCCTCCCAAGCTTCTCCCGAAGATCAGCTGCTGAGAGTCCTCTACCTGAAATCCAACGAATTCCGTCTGGCGGGCTTTAGAGAAGCGTGACGTGCAGTAGTGCAGATGGGCAACAAAGCCAATGTCTGCATACAGCTGCTCCCCAGCCGGCTGCGACAAGAAGTCCTCAACTTTCACAGTTGCGAGGAATGTGTATGTGTCCCATTCCGGCCTCCAGCCACCGGATTTGCAGAGAGGGACATTCACTTCCTTCCATGCGGTTCCTGTCCCAGTCCAGGCCTTGGACTGCATTCGAGCTTGCCTCTCCCAAATGCGACGTCACAGAGTTCCCTGCAGCTGCCGTCCAAGCAAGATGATGCATGCGCAGTCTCCGAGAAGAGCCTGCATCTCCGTGTCAACAGCGAAGATGATAGCAAGACAATCAGGCAGAATAAGCTTTGGTAAACGTGCCGGAGTGACATCACCTTTGCCTTACAGACTATGCCCTGGACAATGGTGAGAGTTTCTTTCGATACCTTATCTGAACATGGCAACTCAAAGCTCATGCCAGTCTGATGAGAAGCTTGGCTTTCCGCAGCTGCCAGGAAAAGCAAGTCATGGATGGTAAGAGTCTGTGCGCAACATGCAGCTGTAAGTTCAGTACATTGTGCAGGCACCGCCCAACTAGACTAATTACCTCTTGTTCCTAGAACGTTTGTTGAACTAGCACACAAACCCCGTGCCTGCGCAACAACCTTGGCATCATGGTGAATCGCTTGCTTGCTTGGAAATGCCCACGTTCTGCCAGCCGCTGCCCGTAACAGCTAAGCTCAGCGCTTGCCACACATCAGGGCCCAGACGACCCAACCTGTCTGAACCCATCTGCACCACGGAGATTTTCAGATATGATGAGGGGGGGAAGTGCTCCCTCACCAAGGGGGGGGGGGGGGGGGNNGGGGGGGCAAACAATGAAACCTGCAAGGCCTTTGAAAGTTTCGAGAGAAGCGAAGCAAGAGTCACGCAACAGATGGAATGGAAGGCTGTACACCTATACTGCAGTTGCTTGGGTGAACTTTCGCTACGCTGGAAAAGAAAGGCGCCAGTCGGAGGCTTACTCCCAAATTGCCGGCCTCCTCTTCGAGTCTTGCGTGGAAGATGCAGATGACTCTGCGACTTTCTCCTCGATAGCAACACTTTACCTGCAGATTCGACACTGGTTGCCTCCAGCGGGTCATCCTCGAATTCTTTCGTGCGAAGCTTCTGATTCTGGGTGACCTGACATGGACATCACTTGTGTTTGCCACGCTCACAGCACGCAGCACAGCTCCAGGCAGGGCTGCCAGGTCGTGGTGGCGATGGTGCTCCGGTTCTCCAAGCCTCACTTCCGGACAGTGTGTGCTACAAAGTTACCGGGGGACCCCGGGGGCGACAGGGCTCGCCTCCTCAACCGCATCTTCAGCTGTCTTCAACGATTGGTCACTGGCCTGCCATGACTTGCTAAAGCCGGCTTCTAGTTACGTAACCTCGCGTGTGCCACAAGCCAACGTGCGATGCCTGGCACATGGAACTGGCAGACTGCATTGAACTTTCTGCCCCAGGCAATCTCTCCACTTTAATCCGCCTGAAGCCCAACAAGAGAAGCCTGTACCACTGCGAGTCTTCTCAGCACCATAGCGGAACATGGGTGCCCCCACGGGTAGTAACCGTCATGAGCAGTTCCCAGGATCGAGAGCAGTTCGAAGTCGCCACCTGGGGCGGCGTCTGAGTAGCGAGCCTGTGCCACGAATCTTGCGAAACTTGAAGGCAGCAAAAGGCACCAAGTTTCCGACACCACTGGGTGCCGAGAGAGGCACTGCTCCACTTGGCAATGTCCTTCCACGAAGTCATGTCAGCGAAATTAAGCCTCAGCGTCTATCTTCTGGGTATTTCTGGGTTCTAGCCTCATGCCGCGAACCCAATTCGCGCACCCTGCTTGCATGCTTCATAAGCTGTTGAGGGACACCCCAAGCTGTAAATGCGCAGGTGTGGTTCACGTGACGAGCCCATTTTTCGAACGCTCTCTTTTCCTCTCTCTCTCTCGATCGGCACCTTCTCTGTATCATGACAAGTCGCTAAGACCAACGACACCACCTACTTACACGTTAAAGAAATCCTCAGATGCCAGTCCGATGCACCTCGTCGCTCCAGTGGATTTGCCCAACAAATCTAAACCAGAACAGCTGAAACGGAATAGTTACGACCCCACCGGCTACGAGGCAGGATCACCCATTGATAATCGCCAAAATAATCGTGCGAAAAGAGAACGACGACCGGATGTTAGCTCCTCGTCAGAAACGTGCAGCGCCCGGAAGTTGTTCCTCCTCGCTTGGCTGGATGCTGGATGGCCCAAGGACCGGCTGCTTCGCTTTAAGCTTCAGACTCCGCTGTCGTCCGAGAGTGAGCCATTGCCTTTGTCACCTCGCTTGCAACACCAAAACGGATGATGCTGTGGAGTTGCTGTGGCAACACGAGGCGCCTGCCTTGAGAAAGCTTGCGTGTCCACTGAAGTGCCGCGGTTCCTGACATTTCGAAACATATTGAAGTAGCTTGCTGAGGCACGTGCTCAGCTGAGAGCAGTCCTCCCCAGGCGCAAGCCATGCCTCAAGCTTTCGAGGAGTTCTCTAGGCAAGTCTCAGCCCAATTCGAGAATATTGAGCTTCCGACCTGGCCAGTGTCGTCCAAGATGGGAAAGTTATGCTGCATGAAGATCCTTGGCCAGTGGCAGCAGGCCCAAGTCTATATCAGAATGGTGGCTGAGTGGCAAAGCCCAAACCCAAACAGAGTCATATCTTGACAAAAACGAAACAGCTCTCCGCACGTTGTAGCTAGACTAGACAGTGCACGCTCGAACCCCCCCAAAGTTGCACAAAGCCCACATCGATCACTGTCGGTCAGTCAATTCTACACCACTTGGCGAGTGGATATTTTGGACAGTGCACCGTTGCACACCAAACTGCGGAGTAGTTGTTCAGGACTTGTGCTTGTACGGCGACTGTCGCAGAATTGAAAAGCTTGGTTCGTAACTTCAGTGGTCCACTCTCGTCTTCGGCGCCCCCTACTCTTCTCAGGATCGGGAATGAGAGATGCGCACACACATCGGAGTGGATTCGACACGAGATCCCACGCTTTCGAGCTCAATGCCAAAAAGAGTGCTTCCAAAGTCTTGGTGGCTGTAAAAAGTCTGCTGTAGCCCGAAGAGAACCAACAGACTTCGAGCAGCTGATGTTCGTCCCGACATTCGATCCCCATTGCCAGGGTCCCCAGTCTTCGAAAAGGATGACCATGACAAACTTTCAAAATGCAGTCCCAACAAAAACTCAGGAAAGGCAAGCCCGTAGTATCCGAACACGAGGCTTGGCTTCAACAGTTTGCGCTTGCGTGGCTTACTCGGCTCCAAAGGACATCACGAATCCTTCAGGAAAAGAAGCAAATCTTCCAAAGGACTGAGGCATGCCCGTTAAATGGAAAAAAGGGTCCACAAGCCAAAACTCTGTTCCTAGGACTGCAGGAAAGTAAACAGCCATGTGGCGAACTCGAACTCTCAAGGAAACTTAGTAGCTTGAGCTAGGGTTCACTTCGAAGCCACCAAGAAGGTAGCAACCGATCAGCCAGAAAATAGCGTGTAAAACAACCCAGAATTAAAACCGACTAACAGGCCCATCTGAAGCCTCAAACGTAATTAGCACGGGCATACTCTAAGCCCCCAGTACAAGGCACAAGGAGACACACAGACAAGCAGCCCTCAAACTATGGCAAATTGTCAGTGCCAACGGGGAGGGGAAGCCGAAATGCGCAAAATGTGTACACGAGGACACTGGTCGCTAGCAGTCTTCAGCCCGCAACAACAAGTCAACTCCTGAAACGATGGGTAGAGGAGCGGCACCCCAAAACCATCAATAGTGCTAGAGCATGAACCCAAAGCGGAAGCAGCCAGCATCAACCTCCAACCCCAGACACATGGCAAATCTTCAACTCTCAAGCGAGCAGGAAGCTGTAAGCCGGATCCTCAACATGATCGAAGATTGCAGAACAGCAAGCGCATCAAAGGAGTGGGGGGTGGGCCGCCTCAACACCAAACTAAATGGCATTGGACAGTCAAGAGCTACACACTCGTTAACGCATAAGGTTTGCTGACAAGACCGTTTCTAGCGGAACAAACCGTCAGACGCTGGCCTGAATGACAAGCGCAGTGGCAAAAAACTCTTGTGCTGTACGCACTGCACTGATGCTCTGTAAGCCCTCCCTTGGCCAGAAGGCCCCAACGAAGCGCGGACACGAACCCCCAGCGGTAATCAAAGCGCCTACACAACGAATGCAGCAGTGGCTCCTACAGAGCAGGTGACGCATTTCCTGACGAGACTCAAATTTGTCATGGATTAGGTCAGCCGTCATCACTGGCTGGTATTCCCTACCTGCAGGAGCTCAGGTGGTTCTGTTCGAACTCGAGCAAAGACCACGCGGCCACCAAAGGAACCTTCAAAGCGGCTCCAAGAAGCAGGCATGTCAGGATGGTAAAAGTCAAAAGGCTTAAGGCGGCTTAAGCTCGGAAGCAGGCCGATGCCCTCAGCCTTCAGCTGCACTGCTTCTCCGCCTCACATCTACTCTACAAAACATGAAGCGGTTGGGGAACATCAAGGCCTTGCCTAGGAACTCTCGGATGCTTCGGGCCGCCTGCACTGCCAACATGCATCGACTTCTAGAAGTCGAAGATGTCGAAGCGTTCTCTCTCACGGCCGCGTTTACCGTGCATAGCAGGAAACCATGGCTGCACCTCCTCTGCATTCCCTGTCTAACTACGTACGTGCTTTGTGCTGGGTGCACTGTAGCAATGGTTGATTGCTCTCGAAGGAGCTTTGGGTCGATGGGCCATAGGCCTCGAGGAAGCCGCAAGACGGATTATCTGTTGGAATTGCGATGGGCACAACTGACCACATTCGTACCGACACATGCAAGAAACCCATGTCCCTAGCACCGCTATTGATCCCACGTGTGGAGAGGCTCGCTGGCTCACCTGCGAGCTGCGGCACTCCTCGCACACACTGCCGGGTGATGTTGGACCCTGGGAACACAGGTGCCTCGGCACAAACTTGCCTTGCTTCGCTGATACGAGGCTCCTGCAGAGGTAAAAACTGCACATAAGAAGTCGATCCAGGCAGCAAGTTGGTGTTCCTCGAACGAAGTAAGCAAAAGGGCAGTGTGCAGGCGTCTGATCGGAACCTGAGACCAGCGACGATGCACGGCTCGAACGATCAAGAAGTCTGGAATTGTGGGAGCGCACCAGGCAGCGCTCGAAGAGCTTATCTTGCGCAACGAACCACTGCTGCAGTTGCTCCCTGCCACTCAAGCAATCGTGTTTGCAGGTCTGGGTTGGATGAAGCGAGGCCCGGACACACATCGCTGTATCTCACGTGACTTTAGATGTATTGCCACGAAGTGAGTGGGTCGAGCCCTCCTGACATAGACAGGATTTAACTGCCCATCAAGCCTGAAGGCTGCAGTAGCTGAAGAGGCCGAAGCGCGTGGCTAATTGCTGGGTCACGTGCTGGGACGGCGGAAGCAAATTTCGTGGTCTTGGACAGTTACTTCGATAACCTCCATGCGAACTGTCTCAGAAGCCTCTAAGCGCAGTGTCGACACCCAACGCCTGCTTTCCATGTTTGCCGGGGCCTTCACACACCAAACCATGCACTTGGGCACTCGAGTTCAGGCCCTTCTGCCTAGACCGCGATGCGCTCGACTGGCCACATACAATCTCTGCCGCTTCCTTCACCAAATCTTTCTCAAGCATGAAGACAACTACTGCTGCTGCAGCTGTCAGTCGCCCAGTCCTCTTGGTAGGGCTCGGGGTCATGAGCCACAGAAGACATCAAGTCAGCATGCTGCTTTTGGACTCTCCGAGCATTCGGACGTTGAGCTACCTTCTGAAGTGTCTGCAGGTCGTCTTGGTAACTAACTGCAGCCAGCCATGGTGGCTCAAAATGTTTGCACGTTACCTCTCGACGTGTGTCCCCATTCATGATGGGAAACTATCCAGCAAGAACTTCAAGGCACGGCAAAGAATAATGTCGACAAGCATGAATGATGCATACGGTGCGCTGAGGCTCACTGCGAGACCTTGTCCACCTTGTGCCGTCGCAACTCACAGCGACGCTCCCGATCCAAGGCCTGTGAATTGTAATGAATTGTATCCAGGCCCACTTGCGAAAAGGTCTTGGATTCGAGGCAGCCGCTGCAGCCAGCAGAATTTCGAGCCTACAAATGCATAATCATGTGCTCGATCGGTACGTCTCACGAAGCTGTGATAGCACACAGGTGGCCTTCTAATGCGTCGCGGACCGTACAAACATCGCCTTTCACTAAGGCGTGTTTGCATCAAATCAAGGGTCATCAAGTGAGGACAGTAGGAGCAATCCTAGAGAAGCTTAGCTGAGCACAGATCTTCCGAACCACCTGCTTGCAGCGCTTCCTCCAAAGCAGCCTGCACTGCAATCCAACCCCGCGGGGCTCTCTGCGAGCTGAGGAATGCTGCGGGCCGCGCCTCGACCGAGGCCTCCTCCCTACCTGGAGGACGCTTAGCTGAACCCGGAAGCTCCAGTCCCTCCTGGGCCCCGGCCGAGCTTCCGAGCATCCCTTGGCCTGGGCGAGGTGCCGATCTTGAGAGTTTTCTGTCGATGCGCAGGTGGATTTTATCCTGCGGGTTCCAGTCCGCAGGCCTACGTGCTGGAACACGTTCGGTGGTTCTGAGACTGACAAGAGGCCATATGCTACGTGTTTGACATGCGTGGTGTTAGCGGAGGCACAGGTGGGGCCTCACATCTTTGGGAGGCGGTCTTCTTTACATCCTTGTTGTGCAGACGAATACATGGCCGTGACCATATTGATACAAGAAACCATGCTGGACGCAACTGAGATGTGCAAGATATCCTCACATGTCTGACTTCGCTACGCCTTCGCGATCCTGTGGCCTCGCTCTGTTGTCCTGGGGCAGGCGCCTTGAGGAAGAAGACGATCTTGTCTTCAGGTCGCTGGCCTGAGGATTGTGGCTCAGGCTGGAGTGAAAACTCTCCAGGACCGCGCCTCCATGGCCAGCCCACGGCCTGGTACCCAGCAGAAGCTGCATGGTGTGATGCATGGAGCCCCCCCCCGACGGCTCGGCTGGAAAGCAGGTCAAGCTGCTGGCGAAGGCTCTTCACCTGCGCAACCCTCGTACCGAAGTTTCCCAAGCCCTCCCGGGCCACAGGTGCGCTTGTGTGCTCCTGAAACGTAGCTGTCCTCCCCTCGCGGCCTCGAGAACCAAAGACTCCACAGTGCCAGAGTACTCCTCGTTCATTACGGCCTGGAGACCCGGCAGAAAGCACTACAGGCGACTGTAGTACATCCAGGTAGGACTCCAACTGCACAGCGGATGTGCTTTGCTCTGGAGGCAAACTTTAGGGTGGACAAAGTCTCCCCAAAGCACATGGCCTCACAAACACAACGCTAGCAGGACGTCGAAGCATCGTGATGAGTGCCAGGCCGCAGGAGAAATGCAAGCAACAATAACCGTCTTCGAGTTGCCACCCAAAGAATCTCGTAGAAGGAAAGTGAGCTTGCCTGGCATGCACACATCTTACGACTGGGACAGGCGTGCACTTAGCATCCTGCATCTCAGGTTTCTTTTGATGTCACAAGAATAAGACGACGGTGGGACTGTCACGGTACCGGACGAATGGCTGCCGCTGCCTCAGGGCTCGGTCAACGCTTGAAGCAATGCTGCATTTGTACATTTCGGGTGCATACCCTGCAGCGGAAACTTTCCGTCGACCGTGCGAAAGAGACCTGAAGCTCCGCTCCGTCCGAGAGGCTGGCTTACTGCTCACACGAGCACCGGACATGATGACGTTCGTGAGAGCACTCAGGCTCCGGTTGATTGCGCCAGCCTCCTTCACCCTGATGCTCTCGTGCTGCGCAAGGGGCCGCAGGGGAGATGTGTGAAGAGTCCCACAGTGTGCAACAACATGCAACGCATGCCCATGCAGAGCTGTGTGCTCAGGGAGGGCACCGCTGAAGGGTTGTGCGGATCAAAAGTTTGACGCTCAGATCCCGCCAGATCGATGAGGTTTAGCCTTCAATGCAAGGCGGAGGAGCAGAGCCACCCGTGGAGCAGCAAAAGAGCACCATGGCCCCTTGCCTTGCAATCTTTGTGGAGGTGACACCGCCGGCTGTGGTACTGGAAGCTTCCACTTTCAGCGTGAATACCGAATGTGACCTCCAGGAAAGACGAACATGCACTGGCCTTCAGGACTAAGCTCTCGCTCTTGCCTGGAACTGAGTTCGTTCATCTGCGTGGAAGCCACATGTCGCTGATGAAGTCCCTGGCATGCCATGTCATGCTAGAACCGTTTGTGTCAAAATGCATATAAGGTGGCTGATAGCTGTTTTGCAGCATCCGCGGACAAGCCCAAGCGACTCCGGTGTGCTAGGTTCGAATATCTGCTGATCCTTGCGGCAGATAGAAATTAGTCACCCGGACCAATCACTCACCAGTTCCCTCCCCCCACGATCACATAAATACGAAGAAATTCAAGAAGCAGAGGAAGAATGACAATAAGGAAAATGATGAGTGCTAGATTCAAAAGGAAGGTCGGAGAGAACATGAATATGGGTATGAGGACAAGCAACAGAACATGAGTAACAACACAGACAACAAGTCACAGTTACACGGTGGCAGTTCAGCAGCGGCAGCAGCAGCAGCAGCAGCGGCGGCGACAGCCACCACCACGACCACAACGAAGACGGCGATGCTGGTCACGACGACGACCATGACCACGACCCCGACCACGACGAAACTAACTAGTATATTGATGATGATGATGATGATAATGATGATGATGACAAAGCATCTCGGCCCGAGCCTTTTAA